CCAAATTCTGTCTTGAGTTCGCGAGTGGTAATATCCGGGGTTTCTTTGATTCTGGTTCACAAGCGCTCTTTGTGGTAACCGAAGGCTTTCCAGTCAAGGGTTCGTCTTCCAGGTTGGTCCAAAATTACTATTTCGAAATTTCTCAAACCAAAATTGGTATGACCTGACGGTAATCACATCTTGTCCGAAAGCTTTATACAAATTTCGTTGAGTCTGAGACACATTCATGCCCCTTTTAAAATCGTACAACAAAATTGGTCTAATTTGCTGCCTTGAAAGTTTCATTTTGCGATTTTTTACAAACTCACAATAGTTTAGGCGTTCTCCGATTGCAACAGTTTAAAAGCGAGAGGTTAAGTGAATTTAATACATTTACCTTTTCCCCTCACTCTCGTGATTTGTTTCGAATGCAGATACTCCAAGTAGGGCGACTCAAAATACGAAAAGAAAACTTTCTGACCAACTTGATAAATATATATATATATATTAATGTTTTTGCATTGAATTGCATGTTTTGAATAGGATCATTACTTAATATGTAGCGAGAACAATTAAACATTTCAAAATTGACCTTTAACTGTCAATTAACGTAAATGTATATAAGGTATAAAAATCCTATAGTTTGTACAAAGTATTGTATCAACATATTGAGCAGTATGTCGGGTTGCCGCTGTGAAGGCAACACACATATGAGAAAATGAGAGCGCGTGTACGATCCGATCAAGTTCGTGCAGAGCGCTCTCACTCCCTCATACGTGCTTATACAGCGGCAACATGGCGTACTGCTAAATATGTTGATGCAACACCTTATATTTATGGAATGTATCGGAGTTCCAATCAGAAAAATTTCAAAGAGCATTTTTATAACTTTTCAGTTAAATTTAGAGTCCTTCATTTCTATTTGGGAACGAATTAATTGATTCTCTTATACGATATGCGATATGCAGTAGCTTGTGCTCCCGCTTTTAGGTTTTCCATTAGAGGTAGTAAGCTATTAGATGTAGTAAAACAGAATAACATTATGTTTATCGCACTTACGTTTATATAAAATCTATATATAAAAGAAACATAAAAAGAATAGCGTGATCATGCCAATGTTTATGTAAAATAACATTTTAAAGATCGCTTTAATGTTATTGACATTCATAAAAATTGTCATCGATTTTGGTATCTTTCTATGCACGATTTTAAGATTTACGTCAATTTCATCAGTTAAGTAACGTCTTAAGACTACCTCAAGATGACTTTAACTCTTTCGCTACGGCGGCCCTCGCCGCTGGAACGCTCTCACTGAACGAGATGCCGCGCCAAAAGTGTACACGTTGCGCGTGGACAGTGTTCAGCGTTCGGGAATATGTCTTACACCTAAATAACGCGTACATAAATGTAGTCTCAGAACGTAAACAAAACATGGACAGAGCTACATTTTCCTGACGAAGTAAAATCGAAACTGCAAGTTCAGAGTAAACATACGGAGTTTTGTGTCGAGCGATTATAGTCGCCTGTCGTATGTACATAGCATCTCGTGGAGAACGACTATAGTCGCACGTGGTGTGTACATGGCGTCTTATGGAGAGCGACTCTAGTCGTCCATCGTAGCGAAAGGGTTAAACTACAAATCGAACCGTAAAGGCTGGCCTGATAAATGCCAAAGAAATATCGATTTTTAAGTTGAAAGGATCACGATAAAGCACTTTGATGTATGGTTTGTCATAATAGTGTGCGTACGTACGAATCTGCGAAGAATAACTGTCGTGGACACTAATACATATTAATGTACGTAAGATAAATGCGTTAACGTGCGTTGACAAGGATTAATATAGCTGCGTGAATAAAATAACTACAGTATACTCGTACTCTCGTGTCTACAACGCGTTATTTTCTATCGTAGTGTGCTGAATAGTGTTAATTGCACAAACTACTAACTACAGCTTAGTAATGCTAATAATATATTCTTAAAAAGTTTACACAATACGTCACTTTAGTCTTCTTACATTTGTTCTTTCTCTTTTTTCGGCGACTACTACACAATCACAAACAAAGGTTACCGCAGAATTGTGCAGGACCGGTCAACAGTATATAAAATTTAACAAAGAATATCTACTCTTGGATTTTCGGCAAGACAAAAAGAAAAATTAATACAGAGAGAGAGAGAGAGAGAGAGAGAGAGAGAGAGAGAGAGAGAGAGAGTACTTAACATATACTCAATATAGTATACTCCAAAAATATACTCGCGAAGATTGCCTCAATAGTCAAAACTTCAGTTACGAATTAATTTCGCTTGACCGGCACTGCTCATCCTGCGCGACTAGACATTATGCGAGAAATCATAAAATAATTTCGTTAATCACACGATATCACCCACCCTTAGTATTTGGGGTTTGTTGCTGTAGTCTACAGGTTGACACCTTAGCGAATAGTCTCCAGTCAGCCATCCGGACATCCCTATCTGTAACCACAACCGCCCAGGGGCCATTCGCCGATTAATGAAGTGAATAAAAAGAATAGGATGATAGAAATATATGGTATAGTATTGCTTAAGCTTAAAATAAAAGGTACTACTCTCTACCATTACTATTATTACTACTGTTACACTACATTACATATGCGTATGACTACGAATGTCGAGCGGTATCACTGTTGCACTTTCAACGGCAGAAATAAATTGTAGCCGACGAGTAAGAGAAAGAGGAAGGGGGAGGGGGATAATTAATTCTGAATAGCAAATGGGTTGTTTAGAGATTTTCCAGCAATTGCCTATTAAATAATTTCATCTCCCCCTCCCATCCCACGGTCAAAGGATGAGCCCGTCGGAAGCACTTGCCGCTTCTGACTAGATGAATGGAATGTCTCAGGGTTGCAAAATATCCTACTGTCGAGGATATGAACGCGCACTTCGCTATTACAACCAGTCGAAATGCCTTACAATAGTACATTTTTTTTTTATTTTGAGGCCTAAATCTTTAGAAGCTTGTAGATTGTTTTTATATATATAAAATTGAAAATATATTATTCAGAATAACAGATAATGAGTTATTTAAATATAGTCATATAAATATAATAAAATATACTTATAAAAATAGTCATTTAGATATAGTCATATACGTGGATAGATTGAAAAATTTCCGAAATCGCCGCTGGGAGTTTGATTTTCTCAAACTATTTTTATGTTGTTGTATCGGCAACTTTTCAGATGAATTGACTGCAAATATCAAATCGATTTGTCAAATAGTCTGGTTTTGATAAACATTTAAGTCAAGCAATTTTGTATGTTTTCAGTTATGGATAAAAACGAAATTCGAACGGTCATAACATTTTTCTATTTAAAAGGAAAAACTGCAACGGAAATCAAATCGAGGTTAGATACTGTCCTTGAGGATTCACTACCTTCATTTTCCATCCTGAGTTTTTTGGTTTCGGGATTCAAGTGTAGTCGCAACTACACAAGTGACGAATCACGTTCAAAACGTCTAAAAACGGCTAATATATCAGTAATTGTGGATAAAATCGACGATATAGTTTTAGCAGATCGCCGACTAAAAGTGCGTGAAATTGAAGAAGCCGTCGGATTCTCCTATGAATGAATAGTTCATATTTTATATAATAAATTGGATTTAAATAACTTTCTGCAAGATGAGTGCCACATTTGCTAAATCCGGAGCAAAAATGTATTCAAGCCCGAAATTCAGCTGATTGTTTGGAAATATTTAAAAGGAGTCCAACGGATTTCAAGAGACGATTCGTGACCAGGATGAGACCTGGATCCACTACATACCAGAAACAAAAATGCAATCAAAGCAGTAGATGAAACACAGTGAATCGGTTCCGAAGAAGGTAAAAATGATTCAATCAGCTGGAGAAGTGATAGCATCGGTTTTTCGGAATGCTCGAGAAATTTTACTAATTGATTATCTTGAGAAAGGAAAAACTGTTACTGATCAATTCTACAAACATTTTTGGACTAATTGAAAGCAGCAATTCAAGAAAAACGTCTGAGAACGGTAAAAAAAGTGTTGTTTCTCCATGACAATGCTCCCGCTCATTCAAGTGCAATCACAGGAATTTCAGCGAATGCTCATATAGATCTGTATTTTTTTTGACAAGAACATGAACGCAGATGTATACGTGGAAGACGTACTCATTCCATATGTTGTTCTGTATGCAACCTTCATTGGAGAGAACTTTTTGTTTATGCAGACAATGCTCGACCACATATTGCGAGAGGAGTGCTTGATTTCTTCGATGAAGTTGGCATAAATCGACTTGATTGACTATAAAATTGTCAAGATTTTAATCTAATTAAACATCTGTGGGGCAACTTTGGCAAGAAAATACGAAATCACGCTCCACAGTCACTGTGAAAATTTCGAAGAGTTTTTGAAAACTAATGGATCACAATTACACAGGATGAAATTAAACAATACCTGATCGTATGAATGTGGTAATACGCNAATATAGCTGCGTGAATAAAATAACTACAGTATACTCGTACTCTCGTGTCTACAACGCGTTATTTTCTATCGTAGTGTGCTGAATAGTGTTAATTGCACAAACTACTAACTACAGCTTAGTAATGCTAATAATATATTCTTAAAAAGTTTACACAATACGTCACTTTAGTCTTCTTACATTTGTTCTTTCTCTTTTTTCGGCGACTACTACACAATCACAAACAAAGGTTACCGCAGAATTGTGCAGGACCGGTCAACAGTATATAAAATTTAACAAAGAATATCTACTCTTGGATTTTCGGCAAGACAAAAAGAAAAATTAATACAGAGAGAGAGAGAGAGAGAGAGAGAGAGAGAGAGAGAGAGAGAGAGAGTACTTAACATATACTCAATATAGTATACTCCAAAAATATACTCGCGAAGATTGCCTCAATAGTCAAAACTTCAGTTACGAATTAATTTCGCTTGACCGGCACTGCTCATCCTGCGCGACTAGACATTATGCGAGAAATCATAAAATAATTTCGTTAATCACACGATATCACCCACCCTTAGTATTTGGGGTTTGTTGCTGTAGTCTACAGGTTGACACCTTAGCGAATAGTCTCCAGTCAGCCATCCGGACATCCCTATCTGTAACCACAACCGCCCAGGGGCCATTCGCCGATTAATGAAGTGAATAAAAAGAATAGGATGATAGAAATATATGGTATAGTATTGCTTAAGCTTAAAATAAAAGGTACTACTCTCTACCATTACTATTATTACTACTGTTACACTACATTACATATGCGTATGACTACGAATGTCGAGCGGTATCACTGTTGCACTTTCAACGGCAGAAATAAATTGTAGCCGACGAGTAAGAGAAAGAGGAAGGGGGAGGGGGATAATTAATTCTGAATAGCAAATGGGTTGTTTAGAGATTTTCCAGCAATTGCCTATTAAATAATTTCATCTCCCCCTCCCATCCCACGGTCAAAGGATGAGCCCGTCGGAAGCACTTGCCGCTTCTGACTAGATGAATGGAATGTCTCAGGGTTGCAAAATATCCTACTGTCGAGGATATGAACGCGCACTTCGCTATTACAACCAGTCGAAATGCCTTACAATAGTACATTTTTTTTTTATTTTGAGGCCTAAATCTTTAGAAGCTTGTAGATTGTTTTTATATATATAAAATTGAAAATATATTATTCAGAATAACAGATAATGAGTTATTTAAATATAGTCATATAAATATAATAAAATATACTTATAAAAATAGTCATTTAGATATAGTCATATACGTGGATAGATTGAAAAATTTCCGAAATCGCCGCTGGGAGTTTGATTTTCTCAAACTATTTTTATGTTGTTGTATCGGCAACTTTTCAGATGAATTGACTGCAAATATCAAATCGATTTGTCAAATAGTCTGGTTTTGATAAACATTTAAGTCAAGCAATTTTGTATGTTTTCAGTTATGGATAAAAACGAAATTCGAACGGTCATAACATTTTTCTATTTAAAAGGAAAAACTGCAACGGAAATCAAATCGAGGTTAGATACTGTCCTTGAGGATTCACTACCTTCATTTTCCATCCTGAGTTTTTTGGTTTCGGGATTCAAGTGTAGTCGCAACTACACAAGTGACGAATCACGTTCAAAACGTCTAAAAACGGCTAATATATCAGTAATTGTGGATAAAATCGACGATATAGTTTTAGCAGATCGCCGACTAAAAGTGCGTGAAATTGAAGAAGCCGTCGGATTCTCCTATGAATGAATAGTTCATATTTTATATAATAAATTGGATTTAAATAACTTTCTGCAAGATGAGTGCCACATTTGCTAAATCCGGAGCAAAAATGTATTCAAGCCCGAAATTCAGCTGATTGTTTGGAAATATTTAAAAGGAGTCCAACGGATTTCAAGAGACGATTCGTGACCAGGATGAGACCTGGATCCACTACATACCAGAAACAAAAATGCAATCAAAGCAGTAGATGAAACACAGTGAATCGGTTCCGAAGAAGGTAAAAATGATTCAATCAGCTGGAGAAGTGATAGCATCGGTTTTTCGGAATGCTCGAGAAATTTTACTAATTGATTATCTTGAGAAAGGAAAAACTGTTACTGATCAATTCTACAAACATTTTTGGACTAATTGAAAGCAGCAATTCAAGAAAAACGTCTGAGAACGGTAAAAAAAGTGTTGTTTCTCCATGACAATGCTCCCGCTCATTCAAGTGCAATCACAGGAATTTCAGCGAATGCTCATATAGATCTGTATTTTTTTTGACAAGAACATGAACGCAGATGTATACGTGGAAGACGTACTCATTCCATATGTTGTTCTGTATGCAACCTTCATTGGAGAGAACTTTTTGTTTATGCAGACAATGCTCGACCACATATTGCGAGAGGAGTGCTTGATTTCTTCGATGAAGTTGGCATAAATCGACTTGATTGACTATAAAATTGTCAAGATTTTAATCTAATTAAACATCTGTGGGGCAACTTTGGCAAGAAAATACGAAATCACGCTCCACAGTCACTGTGAAAATTTCGAAGAGTTTTTGAAAACTAATGGATCACAATTACACAGGATGAAATTAAACAATACCTGATCGTATGAATGTGGTAATACGCGCACGAGGAGGTCATACCTATACTTAATATATACGTATGCGCGTGTGCGCGCGCCCACAATCGACTTGATTGACTATAAAATTGTCAAGATTTTAATCTAATTAAACATCTGTGGGGCAACTTTGGCAAAAAAATACGAAATCACGCTCCACAGTCACTGTGAAAATTTCGAAGAGTTTTTGAAAACTAATGGATCACAATTACACAGGATGAAATTAAACAATACCTGATCGTATGAATGTGGTAATACGCACACACACACAATGAGATGCAATTCCGACCAGTCAAACTCCATTCGTTTCATATTGAGAAGAATTACAACCATAATTTGAGCTAATGACAGCAGTATCTTAACACGCATTCATTTTATTTCGTAACATTGATTGCGAAAAATTAAGAACTTGAATTCAATTTTGTCTTCACTTTCCTGGCCTTTAAAATGATAAATGCAAATCATTGAGTAAAGAATATGGTGCAGATTATGCAAATTATTGCATAGAGATTAATAAACGCAACTGTTGAAATGATGAAAAAACAAACTAAACAAACAAAGCAAGCGCAGGATCTTCCACTTCCTTGTTGAATCGACGTTGTTATAAATTTGAAATTGAATATCTCGGCACCTAAATATTCTTTCAGAAAATTTCAAAAAAGCTTTGAAAGCTTTGAAACCCTACTTTTTGAAATTTTAATCAAAACCGTGCACTACGATTTTTTTTTTAATGGCGGACGACAAAGGGAGAACATGCGAAGTTGATAAATAAAGTTTCGAGGTTGCGGCGGTGCATGGCGTAAAGTAGATATCGTGGCCTAGTGAGACAAAAGCACCTTAAATATAGAGTGTTTTCTTTAAGATGATTCTTTACTGAGTTTGATGTGATAATTATTCGCTGAGTTATGCAAATTGGAAAAAAAATATTTTTTAAATTATATTTGGAATGACTCAGTGAAAAATGATCATATCGAGATCAGTAAAGAAGCATTTAAAAAATAACACTCTATGCTTTCATGTGCATTTTGCCCATTGTGCTGTGACATCTCATTCACGCCATGCAGTGTCGTAAGCTCGAAACTTTGATTGTCAACTTTCCATGTACTCACTTTATCATCCGCCATTTTGAAAAAAATCGCCGAGCATAATTGCTATTTAAATATTCTTAAAGTGGACATGTTTTGTTTTATATTTTTACATTATTTATATCTTTATTAATTATCAAATTATGATTATTTGAAATTTGATCAATTTTTCCCTAATTTTTAGTGACAGTTCTTTTTGAGGTCGAATGTAAATAAAATTATATATATATATATATATATA